TGACTGTCGTTTGCAGTCCCGTTGGATATCAACAATTACTGCTGTATGGGACAGATGACGCGGGATCGAAAGTACTGCAGTACAGCGGTACATGGATTTTTACCGCAAAATTTCGGGTGTTTGGGCAGACAGATCTCTCCATGATGCACACCACCATCTGAATAGCCCTACATGACCATTTTCAGCCCCGGAAAGATGACTACATGCATGCAGATGCGGGTCGCACAAACCGTTGTGGACAAAGCAAAAAGTCCAAATTTGAATACCTTCACATGATATATTATATTTATACAGCACGACGGAATAATTTTACCCGTCCGAGATAAGTATTGAATTTGCTCTTTGTTGTTCTCCATCCCAATATTACCCGTCCTTCCCCGTGTATCTTCCTATAAAGTTAAAAAGTAATAAAGCACGGCGGTGCGCACTCTTACTCCTAATGATGGATGTAACTGCTGTGGCAAGAAGGTAGAAAGTAGCACACAAAGCAGGGTGGTTTGCGCTGGTTACACACACATCCACCAATCCGTTCGTGAAGGCTCATGTCGCTCCTCCAAAGCTCGTAGATATATTCTCTTTCGCGCGCGCGTTGGGCGCAGCGGTGCTGTGTGCATGGGTCCCATCTCAGTTTCGGAGATTGTCCGGTGTCAAGAACCAGCGCATCCGTCTCCCCCTACCGACATTGGCAAGAATACTACAATTGACTTTTACCCGCCTTTGAAGCCCTACACTTGTGTGTAAAAGCAACCCAGCGTGAACCGCGGTGTACACGCACACGATTAACGCTGCAGGGCGTTTCCCTACAACACACACGGTATGCACAGGATGCCGCACCGCAGCACGTGTGGAGCAAGCAGCAGCACACCGCCCGCATGAAAAGTGTCGATGATGTTCAATTTCTGCTGGGGGGTTGAGGTTTGCTCTCCTGCGCAAGGCCGGAGAGGCACCAAACATATTGTCCAAAAAAGTAAAGTCTCTAGCCCTTCGGGGATTCTAACTCGACAAGGCCTATTCGCAGCACTTGTAATAAGCCAGCTTGGTTGTGCGAGGGCGGGGACAAAGCGAGAGGAGGAGAGGCCGCTGGTCGGGGAGGAGAACATGCTGCTTTGATCGGGGCAACACAGACGGCTCTGGTCGCGACACGTATTTATCAGCCCGTCTGCCGCAACCAACCCGATCAAGAAGGGCAAAAGAGCCCATCAATCAACAGCCACGTGGAACACCAAGCGCTCTACGCTAAACGTCATGACCACATGGCAACTACTGTCTCCTCGCCGACTGTTGAGCAACGCACCCTCGCCCTCTGCTGCTGGTTGTCTCATGACAAAGATGAGCGGTATGTGTTGAGCGAACGACCCCTGTTGCAGCTCTCCCCCACAAACAATATGTGCCTGTCTTTTTTTGGCGGACTTTCAAATCCCAAACGCCCGCCCATTCCACGAGCAGCGTCGGGAACTTCCCCGCCCTGCAACGCTCCATCGCACCTGTCGTCGTACCCCGCCACCATGACCGATGTCGCCAAGGACAGCACGCACACAAACACTCGCCGTCCGAGCATGGTTGCCGCTGTTGTTTTCCGTGTGTGTGACCAGGGGCTGGCTGCCTTGCAGTGCTCCACACGCACACACACACACCCGCTGCTACGATTTATCTCTCCTTTCCTTGCGTCCTTGCTTTCGGTTTTCTCGAAGGCTGGAACACCGGTGACAGCTAGCTAGCTCTTTCGTAACGCACAGGATGCAGCAGGCACGACGACGATCCTGGTCCCAAGAGTTGCAGTGCTTTGTTTTTTTCTTTTATTATTGCCACCCCCGTTTTTCCGGGGTGTTGCCGCCTGACGAACTCCCGTCTTTACGAAACCCAGGTTTTGGATCGTGGATCGTGGATCCTGTGGGTGGATCGTACCGTGGATCGTGTGGGAGCTGTTGGGGTCAGATTCCCTCTCGTAGACTGCCACCTCGCGTGTGGTGGTGAGAAAGAGAGAGGCCGGTCCACCAACTATGGTAGCTGGTACAGTAGATACTGGGGAGCTGGAGCGGCAGGAACTCGCGGCGTATGCTGCTTTCGACAAGGTGCCAACAACAGGCTGTATCCACAAGGAGGCACCACTCTTTGTACCGAACACGTCGTTGGATAAGATATCTCGATGGAGCGGCAATCAACGCACCCCGATTTCCAACCTCGGCTTCCTGGACACGGCAGAGTGTTGAGAAGCGCGATGACCGCTAGACTGTCAGCATCGTGCTTCTCAACATAGAGTTGAGTGTGTAGACTTCCCTCACCGCAAGCCTGTGTACGATACATGTAGTTTTATCATAGTTTACACGGCCTGCAACCTGTGATTTAGTCTGGTCTGAAGTTGCTGTCGTTGTTGTGCATGGCGTACGAAATAACATTCAGATAGACGAGGATGTCAATGGCTACATTATGGTCGACGAGCTCCAAGGCCTGGTGGAGTCGTTAGGCCTGCCAATTGCGCCTGAGGAGCAAGACGAAGCCCTGGAGGCGGTGAGATTTGTGCAGTTTACAAGGTACCTATTATAGCTCGCCCGCCAAGCATCACCGCTCATGACCTCTGTCGACCACCGTAAGACTTTCTGCAGTACACTTCGTACTGTGTAGACGACGCACCTTTTTCTTTCGCCACTAGATTGCATAAGAAGATTTTCCTCCACTGCGGCAGACCTATTCGACAACTGCGTTTTTTTTTACCGTGCATTCTGTTTGTTGGGCGCTATGTGGTGGGACTACCGCCAACAACAACAACGA